TACAACACAACTCTACCATTCCCACTACTACCTAACCGTCCACTACTACTCATTTCTCCTACCCTATCCTATCCTTCCCTATCTCTCTCTCATCCTCCTACCTGTAACCTCCTCTCTTCTTTACTCTTCCTCCTCCTCATCCTCCTCCTCATCTTCATCCGACTCCTCTTCCTCCCCACTAGACCCGTCACTAATGTCCCAAGGATCCGAGCCATTTCGAGCCTTGGTGGGCACGTCCTCCTCCTCCTCCCCTCCACTGCTATCCGCCGCCTCCTCCTCCTCACCCTCTTCCCCTCCCACAGATGTTGCCTTTCTCTTTCCCTTGGTAGGCTTCTTGGCCTTCCCGCCCCTCTGCCTCTTAGCGGCCTTAGGCACCTTCTTCTTCCGCTTCCCAATGTTCCCGAATAGGTCCCAATCAATGGTGCATAGCTGCTCATTCCCCTCTCCCTCCTCCTCGTCGTCGTCCCCCACTTCCTCTTCTTCCGCTGCTGCCGGTTCAACAGCACTCCCTTGCTTGAGGGTGCCGTTGGCCAGATCGGCATAAAGCTTCTCCCTCTCCCGTGATTTCCTATCGAAAGCATCCCTGGCCCTCCTGGCGAACGCCACCTCAGTCACGTCCATCATCTTTTTGGCGCTGAGGCGGTTACGGTCCCGCCTCTGCACCCGTGCAATGGCGGACCAGTAGCGTTCGACCTCAGAAGACGTGACTGGCTGTGACAGCACCGTCACAGCCATCCCCATGAGCGCTTGCAATTCCCCCCCATACATCAGCCACCACTCTGCCTCCGTCAAGCGCCCACTCGCCACCAGCACCTGCGCTGCCCAACGGGCATCATCGGACCCTATCAGCCCCTCTCCCAAATGAAACCGCGTCAACTGCGCCAACAGCAGCGTGCGTTGAGCGACATCCCCCCCACGTGCCTGGATCACGGCTTCCGCCCCACGCCTTACCTCGGGATCGTTCTTCACCTCTCTGCCGTACTGATTGCGCGGGTTTAGAAGCCACCTGGAGTGGATTGTGGAGCTGGACGTCCCACCTCCTGGCTATAATAGCCTTGATGGCGGCAAGAAAGGCCGGCTTGTCTTTGGCCGGCAAGAGAGCTGTGCGTTTCAGCATCATTTTGGCTGCCCATTGGGATAACGGGAGAGCACGAGGTGAGCACAATGTGCGGGAAGGGTATATAGTAGCCGTGAACGTGCAGCAATTCACAGCTTACCTGCCGCCTCTGCCGCAATGTTTGTCTTCACCGTGGCATCTAGCATGAGGCCATAGATCTGGCCCATGACTAGAGCACGGGTGTCAACCACCCGCAGCACTTCGTACACGGGTGTCATGAGGCGGAGGACCGCTGTCGCGCAGTCCCAAAAGACCTCATCCAAGAGGAGCAGGCGGACAGCTCGCCCCTCCTCAGACCGTGCCACCGCCACCGACTCCCACTCCTCACTAATCACCATCTCCTTGAGCGCTTTCTTCACTTCCAGGAAGCGGGTAAGCATGATAACCTGCGTGCCGAAGCGTGTTGCACCGGGCCGCACCAAGGACAATGTGCTAAACAACTCCTCGAACAGCACGACGGCAGACGCGCTTCCCTTGACGATCATAACCACCCTGTGCACCTGGTTGAGCACCCGCCGCACAGCACGGACCTTCCCGATGTCGTGGAGCATCAGATCCAGGACGTGCGCCGCACAGTTGTTGAAGAAAATTGCTGGAAAACCGTCACGGAGAATGTCAGCCGCCCTCCGGTTGTTGGAGGCGTTGTCCATGACCACCTGGACCACGTTCGAGTCTCCAACATCACAGATCGCGCGCTGGATGAGACCGGCCAAGTATTCCCCCGTCTTCTTCGCGGTCTTGGAGTCCACGGTCTTCACGATGACAGGCGCCGTGTCATTGTGGGCCATGACACACACGAGCCCACGACTCTTCATGCAGGTCCAGCCATCCACGGAGAGGGTGCAGCCAGTAGTCTTCCAACTCTCCTTCAGGGGCCGTACAATGTCCGCGGTATCCGCTACCAGTTTTTGAAGCAGCACACCCGAAACCCTGAAGGGGGATGGGAGGGTGTACTGTTTCTCGAAGGCAACAGCCGCATCCACGAAGTTCTGCACGGCTGGAGACCTGGACGTGTGGAACGCCCAGTCGTTATCAGCCACTGCAGCAGCCCATAAATGGTCCAGTCGAGCGCGTGCAGTGTCATCCACCATGTCGCGGATGTCCCGCTGCCGTGCGCGCCGAGTGGGTTCGACGTCTAGGGTTGAAGTGGAGCCAAGGGTTGACAGAGTGGCGCTTCCGTCACGCTCATTAGCTGCTGCTGCTTCCGCTCGAAGTTTGATGGCGACTTCGTGGTCGCACGGCGTCACATTCTTCTCCTTGTCCTCCGGCGTCCCATAAATGTGCTCCCCTATGCGTGTTGCGTTAGCAGTCACGGATTTGTTGCAGTGCACGCACTTCGCAGTTAGAGTGCCGCCTGGTCCCTTAGCCGTCGTGACGTGCTTCCACAGTGGCGATTTCTGCCTCGCCATGGCTTATGTCCTGCCACACTAAAGACTAGACTAGAGCTCTGTTTTGAATATGTGCAGGAGTGACTAGACCAATCTCCTAAGTACCAAGTAGAGGAAACTGGGGGTGTTGTGTCGAGTGGTGTTGTGGAAGGGTTGAGTGCACGGGAGGTATTCTGATTGGTTGGATTGGTTTCGCATCGCGGGTTTTGTACGTGTCGCGCATGCGAGCGACAAAAACATCCGCTGCGCGAAAATGTTAACGGAAAAAAAACGAAACGAGGGAGCGAAATTTCAGATTTCGCCAAATGTTGAAATGTCGCGCAACGGGTACCAGTACGCGATGCGCTTCGCGACTCGGGAATAAAACACATTCCAGTGTACGGATGTCAGAGAAATTTGAGTTTCGGCGAAACTGGCGCATGAAATTCAGTGATCCGATATACACTGATTTCGTTTCAAAAATACGGTCGAATTATACGGTCGTATTTTTGAACCAAACAAAGAATTAAAAAATACACCGTTTTAAACCGTTTTTTACGGTCGTATCATACGATTCCGTATTATACGACAGAATTTCAATAATTCGGTCGTAATTTTGAACCTTGGACACATCCCCCCTGCAAAGCATTCGACACATCCCCCCTGCAAAGCATGCGACCCATCCCCCCTGCAAAGCATGCGACACATCCCCCCTGCAAAGCATGCGACACATCCCCCCTGCAAAGCATGCGACACATCCCCCCTGCAAAGCACGCGACACATCCCCCCTGCAAAGCACGCGACACATCCCCCCTGCAAAGCATGCGGCACATCCCCCCTGCAAAGCATGCGGCACATCCCCCCTGCAAAGCATGCGACACATCCCCCCCGCAAAGCATGCGACACATCCCACCTGCAAAGCATGCGACACATCCCACCTGCAAAGCATGCGACACATCCCCCCTGCAAAGCATGCGGCACATCCCCCCTGCAAAGCATGCGACACATCCCACCTGCAAAGCATGCGACACATCCCCCCTGCAAAGCATGCGACACATCCCCCCTGCAAAGCACGCGACACATCCCCCCTGCAAAGCATGCGACACATCCCCCCTGCAAAGCATGCGACACATCCCCCCTGCAAAGCATGCGACACATCCCCCCTGCAAAGCATGCGACACATCCCCCCTGCAAAGCACGCGACACATCCCCCCTGCAAAGCATGCGACACATCCCACCTGCAAAGCATGCGACACACCTCCCACCTGCAAAGCATGCGACACACCTCCCACCTGCAAAGCATGCGACACACCTCCCACCTGCAAAGCATGCGACACACATCCCACCTGCATGCCCCACGTGCCCCCCCAGGAGTTGCGGAGGATCCAGTAGGCGCTGTCAGCGGTGATGCTGTACCCCATCACCACCACGCTGTGATCCACCACCCCCGCCTCTGCACACCTTGGGTCGCTGTATATGCCCTGAGAGGGGAAAACATGGGAGAGAGGAATGAGGGGAAAGGAGGAGGGAGAAGGGGAGAGGAGAGCCTCAAAAGCCTCAAAAAAACGCAAAGGTGGCTTTTGAGGCGCTCAGAGGGGCCAGATAAAGTCTTGAGACGTCTCAAGACTTGAGGCGCTCAGAGGGGCCAAGTGAACCTGTAAGGGCCGAACCTGTAAGGGCCGAACCTGTAAGGGCCGAACCTATAAGGGCCGAACCTGTAAGAGCCGAACCTGTAAGGGCCGAACCTGTAAGGGCCGAACCTGTAAGGGCCGAACCTGTAAGGGCCGAACCTGTAAGGGCCGAACCTATAAGGGCCGAACATGTAAGGGCCGAACCTGTAAGGGCCGAACCTGTAAGGGCCGAACCTGTAAGGGCCGAACCTGTAAGGGCCGAACCTGTAAGGGCCGAACCTGTAAGGGCCGAACCTGTAAGGGTCGAACCTGTAAGGGCCGAACATGTAAGGGCCGAACATGTAAGGGCCGAACCTGTAAGGGCCGAACCTGTAAGGGCCGAACCTGTAAGGGCCGAACCTGTAAGGGTCGAACCTGTAAGGGCCGAACCTGTAAGGGCCCAACCTGTAAGGGCCGAACCTGTAAGGGCCGAACCTACAAGGGCCGAACCTATAAGGGCCGAACCAATAAGGGCCGAACCTATAAGGGCCGAACATATAAGGGCCGAACCTATAAGGGCTGAACCTATAAAGGCTGAACCTATAAGGGCCGAACCTATAAGGGCCGAACCTATAAGGGCTGAACCTATAACGGCCGAACCTATAAGGGCCGAACCAATAAGGGCCGAACCTATAAGAGCCGAACCTATAAGGGCCGAACCTGGGTGCGTGTAGCGTCAACCACTGTGTGCACCTGGAAGGAAGGGACTGCTCTCTGGGGAGAGTATCTTTAAGTACCTCTATGTGCGTCTGGACGGAGGGGTGATTGCTTCTGGGTCGGCTCAAAACACACAGCTAAACAGTGCTTCTCGTACCTGCGTGTATGACTGGAAGGAGGGGTAGGAGCCCCGCACGAATGCAATGGTGGGTTGAGTCTGCAGCAGAGAGGCAAAGGGGGAGGGGATTGAGTAGGTAAGGGAAAGAGAGGGAAAGAGAGAAAAGGAGAGGGGAAGAGAGGATAAGAGAGAAAAGAGAGAAAGGGAAAGAGAGGTGGAGGGAAAGAGAGGTGGAGTGTAGGAGAGGGGAGAGGGCGGCGAGGGAAGGGGAGGAAAGGAGAGGAAAGGAGAGAAGAAGGGGATGAGAGGAGGAGAGGATAAGGGGAAGAGAGGATAAGGGGAAGAGAGGATAAGGGGAAGAGAGGATAAGGGGAGGAGAGGATAAGGGGAAGAGAGGATAAGGGGAAGAGAGGATAAGGGGAAGAGAGGATAAGGGGAGGAGAGGGGGAGGAGAGGATAAGGGGAGGAGAGGAGAATGGGCGGAGGATTGGGCGGATTGGCAAGTGCGGCCGGAGGGGAAGGGGAAGGTAAAGAGTGAAGATTTACTATTCGTGCAAATTTACTGCCCTGTTACCTGCCCTCTTACCTGCACTGTCACAAAAGTATCATCGATCATCAGCACGGGAGCACACCAGCACCGAGCCTTACATTGACGCCGAGTAGCAGGGCGAGCCAGCCGTAGAAGTCGACCTGGTCGTACTCTGTGATGCCCACCAGTACGTGCCATGACTTAACGTGGTACCTACTCGGCGTTTAGGCTTACGCTGACAGCAAGGCTTACATTGACAGCAAGGCTTACATTGACAGCAAGGCTTACGTTGACAGCAAGGCTTACATTGACAGCAAGGCTTACATTGACAGCAAGGCTTACATTGACAGCAAGGCTTACGTTGACAGCAAGGCTTACGTTGACAGCAAGGCTTACATTGACAGCAAGGCTTACATTGACAGCAAGGCTTACATTGACAGCAAGGCTTACATTGACAGCAAGGCTTACATTGACAGCAAGGCTTACATTGACAGCAAGGAGAAGGCCAAACCAGCCGTAGAAGTCCACCTGGTCGTACCCCGTGATGCCTATGGTCGTCGCCTGGGCTCACAGACAGGGCACACGGGCGCACGGGCGTGGGCGCGGGGGTATGGGCGCAGGGGCGCACAGACAGGGCACATGGGCGTGGGCGCATAAGTATGGGCGCATGGGCGCATGGGCGCATGGGCGCAGGGGCGCATGGGCGCATGGGCACACATGGGCACACATGGGCACACATGGGCACACATGGGCACACATGGGCACACATGGGCACACATGGGCACACATGGGCACGTGAGAACATGGGTAGGGGTGCAATTCAAGGTCAGGGCACAAGAGCAGGGGCACTAGGGCATAAGAATATACACGGGCAAGGCACCGTTCCCAGGTGAGTAGCGAGGTGTTATAGGCCCCCAGGCGTACTGTGCGACGGACGAATCAGCTTTGCTTCTGGATCTACGGGGTAAATCTGAGTCGCTTTTGAGTCGACTCAAAAGTCACTTAGTCGCTTTTGAGAATTCTCAAAAACGAATCTGCTTTGCTTCTGGAGGTACGGGGCGTAGGCTGTCTCGGCGGTGAGATTTCCACCACCCCCCCCCCCCCCCCCCCCCCCAACTACCGTGCTATTGAGATTTCTCTAAAATCAACCACCCCCAGGCAGACCTCCCCCAGGCAGACCTCCCCCAGGCAGACCACCCCCAGGCAGACCACCCCCAGGCAGACCACCCCCAGGCGTTCCCTGCGAAGGACGCATCTGCTCTGCTTCTGCATGTACGGGTAGTACGCTGCCTCGGCGGTGAGTCCCCCTCCACCTGCGCCGGATGCATCTGCCCTTGCGCCGTTTACCTTGCGCGGGACTGATCAGACCACCCCCCAGGCGTACCCTGCGCAGGATGCATCTGCTCTGCCTCTGCATGTACGGGTAGTACGCTGCCTCGGCGGTGAGTCCCCCCCACTGCCGCGTGGCGTCCACCATGTAGTCCAGCGCCGCGGTCGGCCACCCGCCGTCAATGCAGTTGCTGCTCGTGCTGTTATTGCAGTCCAACACCTGAGGGGTTTGGGGGGCGGGGGAGGAGAGTAGCTGTGAGAAGCCCCCCCCACCGCGGCAGAGTCGCGTCCACCATGTAGTCCAGCACCTGAGGGGTTTGGGGGGGAGGGGAGGAGAGTTGAATCGGTGCTGTAGCTGTGAGAAGCCCCCCTCACCGCGGCAGAGTCGCGTCCACCATGTAGTCCAGCACTGCCGTCCCGTCGGCCACCCGCCGCCAGTACAGCAGGAAAGCACGGCAAGGCAGCTGTTCTTGCAGTCCTGAAGGATTGGGGAGTACGGGAAAGGAAAGTACAGAACAGCGCACCTGCTGGTGATGAGGCTGCAATCAGAACCCTGCTGCTGTTAGGTACAGTCACGAACACTTTAAGCTAAAAAAAAAAAAACCTGTTCGGTTCGCCTCGAACACGTTCGAGGCGAACCGAACAGGTGTTCGTTTCTTTGCTCAACTCGTACAAGCTACGCATACAGCTGCGTTTACCGTGACGGTAAGCAGCAGGAGTAAAAGCACGCATAAGAAGTCAGTAGTAGCTGCTCAGGTAAGGCCCGTGCTTGGTAGCAGCAGCTTCCGCACCTGTTGTAGTGATATGCGTTTGGGGGGCGCCATGGAGGGCACCGAGTCAGCCACTAACGCGTACGCCATTTCCACCGCGCTCACAGCTGTGATGGCCCATGATGCCTCTGGGGGGTGAAAGGGGGAAGGGGAGAGGAGGGGGGGGAGGGGAGGGACAGAAAAGATCGTCTTTTGAGGGCAATGAAAGTTTCGCGCTACTTGTGGATTGATTGTTTAAACACAACATTTTCGAAATTTCGGTCAGACAGGTAACATTTCGTTAGTTTTCGCGAAGTGGGCAGGGACATTGAAGGCGCGCAAGTGACATTTCTGTTGCGGGAAAGTGACTGGCCATGTGTCACGTCGAAGTCACTTGGGGCCAGAGCTTTCAGAAGCCTTTTCGAAAGAAAAGCTTCTGTGCACATTTTGTGATTGCAGAACATTTCGCGATCATCTATTACTACTAGGACGAAAAAAAAAATTGCTCCGCTCTCGTCTCTTCCCAGGATCCTCCCCCTTCTCCCGCCCCCTCTCCCTCCCTCTCCCTCCCCCTTGCCCCAGGTCTCTCCGGCCAGCACATGCGCGCCAGCCTGCGTCGAGTTGTTCTCTGCATGTGCCGCTCGCTGCGCGAGCCAGCGCGTGGCTGCGCGAGCCAGCACGTGGCTGCGCGAGCCAGCACGTGGCTGCGCGAGCCAGCACGTGGCTGCGCCAGCAGGTGGGTCCGCGTCCAATCCATCATCTCGCGCTCACTTCACGTGCGGCGTTTGCCGTTCAAAAAACGCTCGGAAAACCAGCCCGCAGGCGACCGCCGCGGCGGTAGTACGACACTCACTGCATCTGGTTCGGTGCGCAGCGCGAGAACCGGCTGGAGGCGGGGGTCCTCGGCCCAGCCAGTTCTGATAATGGTAGATGTTCGTAAACATTACACCATGATGGTGCTGATCAGCCGAAAGTTTTTTAGCATTCTCGAAAAATCCCTGCACTCACTGCATCTGCCTTCAGTGCGCAGCGCGAGAACCGGCTGGAGGCGCGGGTCCTCGGCCCAGTTTTGAATAGGGTAGATGTTCGAGATGGTACTCATCAGTCGGAAGAACCGGTTCGCGTACTTGGGAGTCACCGAGGCCACCGCGGGATTTGCGCTGCAATTATAGCTCTGGGCTGGTACCGGCGCCGGCGCCAGGGGGAAGAGACGAGGAAAAAGAGGGGGGGAGGGGAGTCGGAGGAAAAAGGGTCAAGGGCGCGAGAGGGACGGGATTCTCTGTTTCTCTGTTTCAGATTCTGGTAGCGGTGCGGGAGTGGCGCTAGTTGTGTGAGGGCGAGAGGAAACCAGATAGCAAGGAAGGGTAGGAGGATGCATGTCTGACCTGCGACAGGGACACTGCCGTTCGCCGTGAGCAGCGCAGCGAGAAGCAAGGTCGCCGCGAAGCAGGCTTGTCGGGTTGCGAAAAGGTCTTCATTGTTGGTTCTAGGCATTGGCCGGCGGCGACGCGACTCGGAAGGGAGAAGTTCCCTTCTGGCGCGAGCGGCGGCGGCGGCGCGTGGCAATGTCGGATTCGATCGCGAACCGCAGCGGTGTTGCGCCGCCGCCGCAGAAGCGAGAGCGGCGCAACAGCAAACGCCGTGAATGCGCATGGCGGCTGTGCGCACGAACTTGAAGGCTTCGATTTGACTTGAAGACTCGAAATCCGATTTGTACAATCTCGGGGCGCGCTGCTCTCGATGACGTGGCAGTCGACGGTCGACTCTGTAGCCTTCGGAGGTGACTTTGAGTCGACGCAAGAGTCTGATAGACGAGGTAAAAATTGAAGCGCCCAAATAATCTGAGCCACCTCGATGGGCTGACTTATACTACTAAGTCTGCCGTGTTCAAACGCCTGTGATCCCCGTCGTGAACACAACCGTTCGAAGGCTCCCCGGGCCGCGCTTGCCAAGACGAGCGCCGGGATGCGAGGGAAGGGAGAGGCTTCCGCTCGATCGTGGCTTGCGCAAGTGCCCCTGGCTTGCGCAAGCCACAAGCCGCTCAGCTACATCAGACTTTCTCAATGTACAACGACTCCCGCGTTTTGCGGGCTACGATGACTGCCAGAAAGCTCTTGCCGGATCAGACCCTTATCGCCCCTCTCCTGACGTCTTGTCCTGTTCTGCCTGCCACCCACCCCAGCTGGAAGGCGGAAACTGAGGACATCCGCGCAAACCCGATGCACCGCTCCGTGCTGGCACACGCTGGGGAGCCCCATCGCGTGGAGTGCGCGCGGCTGGGGGAAATATATCCGTGCCCAGGTGGACCCTGAGGATTTCAAATTTTGCCTGCGCCTCGGCTCGCAAAGCCGCCAGGGGTGGGGCGCAAGAAGCGGGAGATGCGCGATGTCATATCAAAATAACTAGGTTTGCATGTAATCGTCCCTTGCATGTATAGAAAATGACTAGGGTTTCAGTAGAGATTTTCGCTGAATCTGTGAGGCATTCAGCTAAAATTCTTCTCACAACAGCCAAAAACACGGCTGGTTGTGAGAATTCCGCGAGCGACGCTGGAGGTCGCGTGTTGATTGGCTGCGGAGACACGTCAGGTTTCGGCTGCCTGAGCGCTGTGCAGGTTGCTGCGGATGGTCCGCCATGCTGTACAGTAATGTTTCCTTGCAGCCTGTGCAGGTGTTATGAATATCGAGACCGTGTTTACAAGAACTGACGATACGATGAAAGTGGGTTCATCCTTGGCTTTTTTACTTTTGGTTAATTGGGGCTTTTGGTTGAAATTCCTATGGTTACATATGTTGAGGAGATATTTGCAGCCATATTGATTTTTTTAGATGGTGTAATCAAGACACTGGCTGTAGGTGAGCTAGAGCACTCCAATGCTGGTAGGATGGCACTATATCATGTGCATTATTGTACAACCTTCGCACTAGGTATGTTAATTGCACCTTCATACGCCTAAAGAAGCACATCACTAGTCATTTAGGGTAACTTGGCATTGGAGGGGTGGTCTGAACATCATATAGCTCTGAAGGATAAACTGGAGGACCACCCTGTGCAGAAGATGCTGCTGTCTCCCTCGTAGTTGGTGGAATTGACACAGGTAAACCATCAACCTGAAATTCTGGCCATTCATGCTGCTGCTGCTGCTGCTGCTGCTGCTGCTGCTCCTGCTGCAGATTCTCCTCCTGATGCTGATGATGCTGAATTTGCTTGCGTTGCCGCCAACGCCTTATGCCCACACGGAAGACTTGATACAGGAGGCAGAAGAGTGCAACAATAAGAGCGAGGCACACTATGGCGATGATAAGAGAGGCCCACCAGGACATGCCACCACAGCGAACGCACACCATGGCTCCCCCATAGCCTGGATACGCTACAGATGAAGCAGCGCCATCAATTGCGGCAGAAGGAGCATCAGGAGCAGCACAGGTGTTTAAAAAGGATATGCACAGCAGGAGCGGGACGAGCCAGACGGATGTCATGCTTCCAGTCGACCCATGTGGCGCTGCTGCAACGTGAGAAACCGCTTCAACGCACGTTAGAAAGAGACTTCCCATGAGGCTTCCCCAACTATTTGAAACGGCGCCAGATATTATTGTATCAAAATACTTCGTGAAAATGGCAGAAAAGAGTCCTAGAAAGGAACGCCGGTAAGGAGCGCCGGTAAGGAATAAGAAGATGGTGCGCTGTTGATCCAAAGATACGCGACAATCGGCTGCCTACAAAAATTTCCGAAAATCCATAGTAGGCAAACCCTAATTTTCGGAGAACGCGCCGGATGTGCGTGGTCCAGTCCGCGGCTCCACGCGACACGGAAGCTGTGGAGCCCACGTGACTTCCGAAAGAGCGAACGGTTAGGAAATTCATGTTGGCCGTTACGAGCAGTCAGATTGAGATGCTGACGAGGTGTAGCTCCATGCAAGCTTGTTATTAGCTAGCTAACATGCAACGGAGCGTGAGGTGCGTGCAGACATAGAGAGGTCGCGCGACCTGACAAGTCAACTTTCCGGGGTAGGATTTTAATTCCACATAGGCAGCATCGCTTTCCTGTTTGAGATGTTGCATTGTGGGGTCTTTTTCATTCGCATATGCAATACGAAATTGAAACTGAATGCAATTGTTCGTTTCCTTACAAAAACACTTACACAATTCTGTAACACTGATTTGTTTCAGCAATATCTGGTTTTCGTAACCAGGTTTCGTCCACCGAGATCAATGTTTCCGCTTCTCAGGGATTCACCTGCAGCAACCTGCGCAGACACCGCAAGCCTCGACCGTCGGAACAGCCTAAAAACACTCAACATTCAGCGCCACGGAAATGATGCTGTTCTCTTGTCTCTTTCACATGTTTCTTTCTTCCAGCCGCAATATTTTCACAAAAGCTTGCGACGGTCAGCTGAATATGCTGTTCGGCAAGGCTCTTCATTAAATGATTCTGCTAAAACGAACTTCACAGCACATGGAAAATAACATTTCATGACAAAAGTTCCTCGTCCGCTTCTTGCGCTCCATCCTGGCGTCTTGCTGAGCAGAACCGAGTCGCAGGCAACATCTGCTCAATTGGTAATTGCCGCCATTCAAGGCCGAGAAGGACGTGCTTGACAGGATGGGGTGGGGAGGGGGAGGGGAGGCGAGGGAGAGACGATAGGGTCATGGTCCATGGATGAGTTGACAAAAAAGCTACTCCAATTTCAACTTCCGCGAATGAATCTCTTACACGAGCAGGCCACGGGTGAGCAGCTTCCTTCCCTTACCCATTCGCCACCCGCATTTCTCCTGGAAAGCCATACCAGGAGCTGTCTAATGACTGTGTTCATGACGAGCTCAGCCGTCTGATCACGAACACGACATACTAAACCAGGGGATTGCATTCCAAACCGCTGCGCGTCGAGATATCCCATCCACGCGATCCAACTTGGATCGAGGCGCCACACGAAGTACCCATCCAGTGGCTTAGATTTCTAGGCGCCTCAGACATTGCCTCGTCTGGGTGGTCGAGGACTCCATTTGAGTTCGGGCTATCCAATAATTCACCTCCGAGGCAGCAGCGTCGACTATCAAGCAGCGTGCGCCGACGA